AAACCCAAACCCTAAACCCTGAACAAGGTCAAGCTTGGGAAATTCGCCATGGACGGCTCGATCTGGCGGGGCATCACCGCAGATGCCAAGGTGCCCCAGGGCTCTTAGGGACTTTGGGTTGCCTTAGGGTTCAGGGTTTGGGGGTGTAGGGTGTAAGGTTTAGGGTTTGGGGGTTTGGGGGTTTAGGCTTTAGGGTTTAGGGTGCCTTAGGGTTCAGGGTTTGGGGGTTTAAGGTTTTAGGGTTAGGGCTTAAGGTTTAGGGTTCAGGGTTGCCACCAGGAGGGTTAGTATAAGGGTTCCCTCAAGGGTTTCTCCAAGGGCTTCTACAAGGGTTTGGGGTTCAGGGTATACCTGTATGGTAGAATGTAGTTTTGCTCCAATGTTGAGGCCTTTCAAGCTTTCCGTAATCGGCTTCTAAATAAAGCGGCTAGTGGGTTTTAAGGGTGGGACTTTCTGGTTGTACAGGGCCTGACCGTTTTCGGGGTCACTTTTTTTACAATCAGGGACGACAGGGGTGGCCTGTAGGGGTTCTTAAGGCTTTTCTCCGCGGCTTGAGGTCTTCGTTCATTGGTTATTGCTTGGCTTACCTTCCAAGGCGAGCAGAAAAGGGGTACCGCTGCGGTGAGCCACTTGGGAGGGGGGGTGTCCAAAATGAATCCTCCTCCCAGCTTAGCAACATATACCTTATCATGAGGATCTTGACACGCCGAGGGTGAAAACAAAACCATTGAACACCCCAAACTCGAAACAAACTCGTGGCGGGGTTTCTGTCAGGGTCGCCCTTTTCCAAACACCAAATGGGGCCTCAGTCGGATAGGGAGCATGATCTTGAATTCTCAAACATTGCACTCCATAGGTCAGTATTGGGTGTTTCCCAAAAACAGGGGACCCTAATATAGTATCCTAAATCGTCGGATCCTTATTATAACGACCCCAAAATAAGGTACCCCTGATTTCTGGAAACTCCCATATTGGGTCTGTGCCTGTCAGGACTTGATTCAGAATCTGTTGGTCCGGGATCCTGCACAGCGCATCACGGCGGCACAGGCGACGTCCCAGACTTCCAGCGCTGCTTGAAGACTAGTATAAGGCTCTGGACCTCAACAGTACGTAGAAGAACCCTATAGACCCTGAACCCTACACCCCAAAACCCTAGCCGTTCATATGGGTAGTTGTCAAAATTATGGTCCCTTTTGGGATACCCTAAATAATAGGTGCCGTATTATAATAAGGACCCAAAAAGGGACCATAATTTTGACAACCACCCATATAGGTATTGGGCCATTACTTTACCTAGGACCAAAGGTCTGGTTTAGAGCTAGAATAAGTTCGTAGGGAGGCACCGTCAGTCCCTAGGGTGTATGCATGGGCAGTTCTCTAAAGTAGGGTCCATATCCCCCATCCCTTTCACGTCTAAACCCGCAGCCCAAACCCTGCAAAATGGTAGGCTATGACCCTCCAATCAAGTATAGGAACTCTAGCATCCGTAGTCTGAGAGCAGTCTGTGGGCTTGCCCTTGGATGTGTTTTTCAGGGCTTTGTTGCCCTAAACCCTACACCCCAAACCCTAAACCGTTAGTGTATGACGTATGAGTGTGGGAACTGCGGCAATCCGAAGCTTCAACCTCCCGAAACCCCTACTGCAACACCCCAAAGCCCCCTAAACCCCTACAGAACCCGTGAAGAACCGCTATAGAACCCTTGTCAAGACCCCCCATAGAACCCCCATAGATTCTTGAGAGGAGCGCTAGACCCTAAACCGCGTGCAAGCCCCGAGCCGTTTGGGGTCTAAGGGTACAAGGCTTTAGGGTTTAGGGTTTAGGGTTTTCCTAAACCCTAAACCCTAAACCCTAAACCCTAAACCCTAAACTAAACCCTAAACCCCTGAACCCCAGGTCCCTAACCCATTTTAGCCTGTAGGCTCTGAAACATATCTGGATCGCGCGATTGGCTCCCAATGCCTTCGTCCTCGATGGACGGTTACCTGGCTTTGCTGGCACCCTAAGCCACCCTAAATCCCTTGGTAGCTGCGTAGGTAACCTCGAACTCTTTGGGGTTTATATTATATATATATATATTCCGACCATATTTGAGAAGGTTACCTTTTTTGTGCTAGGGTACTCAGCCCCTAAGTAAATCCTGATCCCCAATCCCTTCCTAAACTGTCATCCGTGAACCCAACACCTTATATCCTCTTTCGCTGCACCCTAAACCCTGCCCTAATCTCCAAACCCTAATCATTCCCTAAACCCGAAGACGGTTATCTTTGACCGTTTCCGAGAATCTCCTGATTGCTTATTTTCGGAACAACTCTTCAGAATTGCGGTTCGGACTTCTGCCAACTATCTTTGAGGCTTCAAAAGGGCTACGCGCGGCTCGATCCTAAGCGCTGTGACTTTACGACTCCATAGTCTCTACAAAGCCAAACGCCACGGCCTTCCTATAGGCTCCAAACTCGAATCTCTGACTCCTAGTAGCAGAGTAGGTAACATTTTATCTTTGCCTCTGTTTTGCTAATCTGAGATGAGGGGGTTAAGAGGTTTTAGGGTCTTTCGGATTCAGAGGCTTATAGGGTTGAGAGGGTTGGGACCCGAAGGGGCTTGCAGGGCTTATATGGGCTTACTTGCGCTGATAGGGAACACTTGGAGGTTCATGGGTAGTTATAACTGGGGTTATAAGGTCCCCTAACAAAAAGGGGTTATAACTATAGTTACCCTACTTATAACCCCACTTATAAATACCCATGAACCTCCAAGCAGGGCTCTTTAGGGCTTATTCGGGCTTGTGCGCTGACAGGGCTTGGGGCCCCATAACCCTAAGCCCTAAACCCTCAACCCTAAACCCTAAACCCCCAAAACCCCTAAACCCGAAATAAAACCCTAAAACCCCTGAACCCCGGGCTTTCGAGGTTGGAGGTTTCTGTTTGAGGCGGGTGATCCAGAACCTGCGTGCCTTCGCTGCCCAGTCGCGCTTCAGGAGGGCAGCCCTGGCGGCCCTTCGGACGGCGAATTGGCTTCAGGGCTTTAGGGGCTAGGGTTCAGGCATTTCGGGGTCTAGGGGTTTTGAGGTTTCAGGGTTTAGGGGTTTTGGGGGGTCTCACGGGTTTAGGGTTTTGGGGGGTCGTCTGCCCTACACATCTCATAGATGTGAACAGTTATCCACCAAACGAGGTAAAAGTCTAGGTCTAAGTGGAACTGCCTGAAGGAAGTCACATGGGGGTTTCTGAAAATAGGGGACCCTAATATAGTACCCTAAATAATAGGATCCTTAATATAAGAACCCCAAAATACGGTACCCCTAATTTTCGGAAAAACTGCCCTAAACCCTAAATCGTGGATTATTTATGGACTTCGTGGCCTAGGACTCGGTGATGACTTTTGTGGTGTGTGTTGCTGTTTCGGATCTTGGCGGTTAGCTACCTTGTTGCTAAAACTCCAGGCACCCATAAATCTTTAGCTTTTGACCGACGGTTTCAGGTTTAGGGTGTACATCTCAATCCCCCTGAACCCTTTATTCCAGGTGGTCGCGACGCAGCTGAGTTCTAGCGAGATGAGGCAGCTGCGCCAGGCATTCACTGCGATCGACGCTTGGGCGACATAGACATAGAGCCAAATTGAATCAAATTGGGGAATGAAACCCGAAGGGTCCAAGTACCTCTTATTATAGGATTTTGGGTACCAAAAGCCATGAATGAGGGATTACTTGGACCCTTAGGGAAAGATTTCAGGGAAGATGGTTACGGCCGGCTGGGGCTAGGGTGCACCTAGAGACCCTATCGTAAAGTCCTAACCCCCTCCACCCCTAAAGCCCTAAACCTTGAACCGCGATTTCTTGGGGTTGTGGCTTGGAGGTCTAGGGCGAATCAACCTGAACCCTTACAGGCCCACATGATCCGGGAGAATATATAGATCACCCAGAGCCCAGCGGCTAACGAGTTTGAGGTTTTAGGGTTCCAGAGTTTGGAATTTAGTGTTTGGTGCTGTGGAACCGGCGACGACTGGCGTCTGCAGCTGGGGCTTAGCGCGTGTGTCAGAACCTGTCATCATCATTTTGAGCACAGCCTGACGTAATGACTGCCCACAACAGGATGGAATGTTTACGGTTTAGGGTGTAGCGTGCTGTAGGGAATCTTAAGACGTAACAGTAAACCCTAAATTGGCCCTAAACCCTGAATTGGGGATGTTGGTGCCAGGCCATACTTCCCGCGGCTGTTCCAGGCAGTTTCTGTGGGGCTTAGGGTGTAGGGTTTAGGGTTTAGGGTTTCGGGGCGGGATGGTGTTAAGATCTGGAGTTTTGGGGGTTTAGGGTTTAGGGTTTCAAGATTTGTGCTGGGGTCGGTTTCCTGAGGATACCGACAACAGCGGCACGTTGACGCTGGAGGATCCGATGCATCTAAAGCTGTGGAAGTTTTCTGAAGTTTGAGGGGGTGCATGGCTAAATCGGTGACAGTTGCACCCTCGCCTTCTATTTGCATACGTATGTACCTTTCTTTCTTTCTTTCTTTATATAATATATATATATATATATAACATATATGCACACATGTCTCCTCGCTCTTTCTCTTTCTCTATCTATCTGTATACCAGTTCACCCGCGCACCGTCATATTGTCACCATCAACCCTGAACCCTAAGCCCTAAACCCTACACCCTAAACTCCGAAACCCGATTCGACTCTCCAGTCTGGTCCTTTTAACAGTGGCCCCCAGCCGCGACATTGACGAGAGGAGGTTCACGAAGCTCTGAAGAGCATGGACGTGGACATGCCCAGTGACCTGCTCAAAGCATTCGGGCAGGTACTCTCGGGGCCGTAATAACTACTTATATTATTCTGGGGGGGTCCTTATTATAATTATAGTATAATGGGCCCCAAAAACATAATTACCTATATTGTTTTGGAGGGCTTGGGGTTTAGAGGGCTTTGGGTTTAGGGGTTTAGGGTTTGGGGGCTTAGGGTTTAGGGATTCTTTACTATGATTTAGAATATGATATGCCCCCAAACCCTATTCTAATTGCTAAGGCCCCTACAGTATGTGTAGGCTGGTTCACAGGATTGGAGACAAGGAGCTTGAGGTACTGCCATCATCCGCCATCCATGAGCTCTATATCTCTGCATCGATGCAACAGCATACCCAAAGTAATTACTTGTTCGAAACCTAAACCCTATACCCTAAACCGTATGCCCCTAGCATCACAGAGTTTGGGCATGGTTGTGTGTTTTGAGGTTTCTGACCTGGACGAACCCCGATCAGCTGCAATCCATCTAAGCAGGAGCCCTCGGGACACGATGAAAAGAGCTGCGGCTAAGAAGGTCTCGGGAGTGCACCCTTGGGGCGCAGGGCCAGGGGCCTGCAACGGAAACAAATGCTGTGACATGACTTCCCAATCTAGTTGCTACCTAGATCTAAAATCTATCCATCCTGAGCCCTATAAGCCCTAAGCCCTAAACCCGGAGCCTTAAACCCTAAACCCAAAACCCTAAACCCTAAACCCTAAACCCTGAGCCCGAGCCTCTTCTTCGGTGTGGTCCGCGGGTTTATGGCAGTCCCCTCGAAGGGTCTTTCTTAACACTGGCTGCGGGGCGACTCCTAGGTGACTTGGAGAGGATTCTGGCGGCCATCGATGTGGGGGGCAAAGGACTGCGGACAAAATTGGGAGTTTCCGAAAATATGGGGTACCTTATTTTAGAGTCCTTATAATAAGGATCCTACTATTTAGGGTACTATATTGGGGTGGGGTACCTTATTTTAGAGTTCTTATAATAAGGATCCTACTATTTAGGGTACTATATTGGGGTCCCTATTTTCGGAACCCCCTATTTAGTACAGGGGCCTCAATCATTACCTATACTGTTTTGGGGGGGTTCCTTATTATAACTATACTATAAAGGACCCCCAAAGCCTATTCTAATTATTTAGGCCCCTACATTAGGGTGTATTCCGCCGGCTCCCCCAAGGGTCCTAAGTACCGATACGGGTTCCTTTAAGGGTCTCGGGTTTAGGGTTCCTTGAAAGGGGCCCTAATTAAGGACCGATTATGGATGATTGTGGTGGATATTTACCCGAACCATAGTAGTGGTTCCTACTATAGAAAGCTACTTTGTGCCATGTAGATACTTAGGCTCTTTATTTCGGGCTTGGTTTCTGAACTGTCCTATGCGGCGTGACTTTCTTTCCTAAGGGATGGTATCGTGAATGAAGAAAACGCAGCAAAGCCACAGGATTGGGACAGTCGAGCCGAGTAGTGGGAGAGAGAGAGAGAGAGACAGAGAGAGAGAGAGAGAGAGAGCGAGAGAGAGAGAGAGAGACAGAGCGAGAGAGGGGGAGAGTGAGTGAAGATGCAGACACAGAGAGGCGATGTAGGAAGGGAGAGAGGTAAACACGCTCGAATACGCCCCAGCGCACACAGAACCTTGGTCGTTCGCGGGTTTTTCATCAAGAATCAATATTTGTGATGCAGTGATAAAGAAAAAAAGCGTCAGAATGATATGTGTGCTCTTGCAGAATCTTGCCGGCACTTGATGGTAATGTAGGAACCTGATTAAGAAACCCTGGATCTTTGTTAGGGTTCCTTAGATGAACTCTAATATTTTGGGTTATGGGACCAGGGTCTCTTGATCAGGTTCCTACAGTATCAGTAGACTTGCGCTGTTCCCGTAATGTCATTGTTCGGGGTGCGAGGACATTTGAACTATTCCGAGTTCCTGGCCGCGGCTGTGGATCACCAGAGCTTTCTGTGTGAGGAGGCTGCCGTGGAGGGGGGGGGCTTTGGTCTCAGCAGACCCTCCATCTACTTAACATGGCGGCCAAAGTAATTACCAACATTATTTCCTCTGGTTCCTTACTATTTTTATACTATGAAGGAGCCCAAAACCCTAATTCTAGTTCTCAAGGCCCCGTACATTACCGTCCATACGACCCCAGATCCTACAAGACAGAGCCACATGTTACAAGGAGGGTCCTTGCGGGAGTGTGAGATAGATGGGGACGGTCATGCAGCCCACAAATGGAAGTAGGAGTTGGATTGTTAGGACACCCCTTAGTTGAGCTCTGCTAGAACAAATAGGCGCAACTCAGGAGACCATGATAGGTCTGATAGGGCGAATCGTATTATGGCAGGCGACGAAGCATTTCTGGCAAGTAGCGTGAAACCGCCAGTACCAACAGAATGAAAAACAGCATAAGCACCAACAAGTAATGAAAGACTTGGGTCACACTGCAACATCATTGGTTAACATGCATGAGTAACGACATGATCATCGTGATTTGCGAAGAGACCCGAATGCAACTTAGTCAGCACAGGCACGGCATAGATGAACACAGCATACGCGGATGCGAGTGCATACGAACTTTGGCCCTAACCCATGCGTCAGCTCCCAACACCTCTAAGTGCACCTACCGGTGGAGCGTTGCGGGTTTGCAACTGCAAGGAGCCGAGAGCGCAAAGTTTAGGGTTTAGGGTTTAGGGTTTAGGTTTAGGGTTTGGGGTTTAGGGTTTATGGCATAGGACCCAATTATTCTTGGAGATGATTTGCCTCGACCCTCTTAGGTTTAGGGTTTAGCGTTCTTCGCATGAAAGGGTTCTGATTTGGGGGGTTTGGATTTACGTCCGAAACTGGTACAGTAGGCGTCCAAACGCAGCCAGATGGCAGGTCTGCTGGAATGCCTTCAAGTATTTCGATCGCAATGACGATGGCTTCATTAGTCACAGCGTGCCCTGGCTTCGGCGATTGAAGGTGTAGTCGGAAAACATCTGATGCTCGAGTCAGTCTGCACGAAGCCCATCACCTTTTGCCTTCGTTCGTGTGGCAACAGAAGCCCCGTGCCCTAGATATAATGAGCCGGTCAGTCAAGCAATCAATCAATCAATGAGTGAATCAGCTAGTCAGTCTGTCAGTAAGCCAGTCAATTAATCCCTGTATCCTGAAAACCCACCGCAGAACCGAACACTTCCTAAAGCCTAACTCCTCAAAGCCTGGTCGTAAACCCTAACTCCTCAAAGTATCGTAAGCCCTATAACCCCTCAAAACCTAACTGCCCAAACCCGAAACCTTCCGCGCCTAAAAGCCCTCTTTTGCCGTAAGCATTCCTTCTTTCAAGCGCCTGAGAACCCCCTGGTACCCGTACGGTAGCCGTATCAATGGAACCTGTATAGTTCAAGCCCTTACCAAACTCTAAACCCCAAAACCCTAAACCCCAAAAACCATTCTGGAACTTCTTTCGGAACTTTAAAAACGGAAGAGGGGAACACCGAGGAGCTAACGAAGCTTCTGGAGCACGATGCGCTGCAGGCTGGGTTTTGGGGGTTTAGGGCTTAGGGTTTCAGGGTTTAGGCGTTTTAGGGTCTAGGGGTTTTAGGGTTTAGGGGTTTTAGGGTTTAGGGGTTTTAGGGTTTTGGGGTTTTAGGGTTTAGGGTTTTCGGGTTCGGGTTTAACGCTGTTTAGGGTTCAGGGTCGGGTACAGGCAGCCTTGTCAGACGGTTCTGCGAGGGTCAATAAGGGCTGTATGAGGACTCTGTGGGGTTCATGCTGTAGGGCTTGGGGGGGGTCAAAATGGTTCAACATGGTGTCTATACGGCTGCACGGGTATGAAGGGAGCAGTTGAAGTCATGGTGCTCGTTGCCGTCGTCCGGGTGATTAAAAGAAATCCCAGGAAGGAAAACCGGCGAATTGTGCCGTGACAAGCATGCGAGAGTATATCAGTGATACAGAGACGAAGACGATCAAGACAACCATGGTAACTGGTAACAGAAGGACAGCAACTTTCGGTATCTGTAGTAGCTCCCTCAACCCGATACACTCGCATGAACCGAAAGACCTCCTCTGGCGGAGTCCGAGTTGCGAGAGCGTAAACCCCCAACCAAAAACGTAAAGTCTAGGGTTTGGGTACGGTTTAAAGTTTAGGGTTTAGGATCACCACGTCGTTCCGGAGCTTCGTCCTGGTCCTTCCTGCGACAGGAACTGCCTGAAGCGCCGAGCGTGCGCAAGATCATCAACGAGGCCTGCGGCGGTGTAATTTGGGACGGAAGCTTTACTTGCATGTGTATACATATAGTCTATATTAGTCTATATATGTAGATAGATATGTGTGTATATATATACACACATGTACACATGTATGAGTGCATTCCAACTATGTGCCGAAACTCCCTAGCTGTAAGCGGGAAGCCCCCAACGACAGTATCTATCATCTGTATATCTACATCACCTAGATAGATCACAGCTGGAGCTCGGAGATAACCCCAAACTGGAGCCCAAGACTCAAGCCCGCAAGCCTGTGCAACAAGAAGCCTTTCGCAGACGCTGCTCCAGGTTTGGGGTCTACTTCGATTGTTGTTTTAGTATTGGGGCCTTGATAGGATTTAGGGTACCTGGATTCGGGAACCTGGACTTATTTATAGAGCCAAGGGCAATACACCCTAAACCCCAAACCCTCGACCCGTAGACATTCTATGAGGGTTTTGGAAGGAGGCTTCCCCAGAGAACCCAAAACCCCCTAAGTAAGGAATCTACCTTAAATCATAATCTTAAGACCCCAAGAACTTAAGGTATATTCCTTAATTAAGGGGTATTGGGTTCTTTTGGTCCCTGATTCAATGCTTTCGGAGCTTCTGGGTAGCACCAGACTCAAAGACTCCTGGACTCGATCAGAATGAGAGGTAGAGGGTTGGGTTTAGGGTTTAGGGTTTAGGGGAATGAGATCTACCTATATAGTCTCCATTGTAGTTCCTGTTTGGGGATACCTTATATAGTATATAATTGGTTAAACCAAAAAAAGAACTACAATGGAGACTGTAGGCATGATGGTGGAGAGGATTATGGGAGTTTCCGAAATTAGGGGTACCTTATTTTTTTTGGGGGGGGGTCCTTATAATGAGGGTCCTGCTATTTCGGGTGCTATATTCGGGTCCCCTATTTTCGGACCCCCCCCATATAATGTATAATCCTCAACTAAGGGGTTTTGAGAGTCCGTGGGTAAGTAGAACACACGTCGTCAGGGTGTCCAAAAACTCCTAAATCCTAGAGCCCCAAAGCAGAAGCAGAAAAGAGCAGGTAGACGTGAACGGTGATGGGAAAGTGGAGTTCGATGAGCCGCTTGGCAGCCGAAGGCATAGTTGACCCCGATTTGAGCATTGTATGCCTCAAAGTGTATAGTGCTGCTTTTTATGCTTTACGGTGAAGCCATGTAGATCTCAGTTTTGCTGAAGGGCTTGTTGCTAGTTCCATTCCTCCGGGACTGTTGCGGTCGTTGACTGCTTGTCCGTATTGTAAACCCCAAAGAAGTTGGAAACCGGACGCAGGACGATCTGTGCTGGGATTCCGTATACATTACTCTTAAGGATTGAGGCTATTGGGTTTCCAACTTTTTTGGCTTCTACTGCAGTAAAAGTTGGATTTTGGAGAGCTCTTTCAACGTCCTCGGGGACTGAGGTGGCTCCTGTTTTGGCAGTGCCGTGCCAAAGTCGGCATAGTTAGCAATAACTTCATCTACTCCCCTAAACCCTAAACCCTAAACCGAACTGTTAAGGCAGTTAAGGCCTGCAGATTGCATGCCAGCTTCTTTGTTCTCTGCAAGTTTGGTTTAGGGTTTAGGGTTTAGAGTTTGGGTAGTTTAGGATCTTCAAGCGGCGATGCCAGGCAGCCAAACATCAGATATGTTAGAGTCATCGCAGGCACCCCCAGCAGTAGGTTGCATGTCAGGCATAGTTTGGAGGAAGTTCTCGCTGTGGTACTATGGGGGCCTAAATAATTGCCAATACTATTTGGGCGGGTTCCTTATTCTATTCATAGTATAATGGGCCCCAAAACCTTATTCTAATAATTAAATTAAGGCCCCTATATTGATAATAGGGGATGGTGTCCAGGGATTGAATTTTAGGAACTCGAGGGTTGAGTTCGACTTGAGATGTAGAGACGACCCTAAACCCTCAGACACCATAAATTGAAAGTTAAGCTCCAAAAGCCCTCAGCCAAAAAGCCCTAAGTAGAATTTAAAGCCCTCAGCCAAAAAAACCCGAAGTAGAATTTAAAGCCCTCAGCCAAAAAAAAACCCTAAGTAGAATTTAACGCCCTCAGCCAAAAAACCCTAAGTCGAATGTTGGGTCTTTGGGGGAGGTTGTGGTGCTCACAGGCTAATCTCATGTATTGTTCAAGCCGGGAGTACCTGATTTCAGGGTGCTGACGGTCAGCATCCTATTATTGTGGGGAGTTCTATATGTGTGTGTGTATATATATATATATATATACATATATATATATATACACTTACATATGATTTGGTGGGTTTCAGCAAGTGCAGAGTCATTCTATCTGAGGTTCATGAGGATGATGCTGTGCGCCGAGCGGACAATAGATGCGAGCTGAGCAAAAAGTTGCTCGGGATTTAGCGTTTGGGGTTAGACTTCCTGCTTAGAATAACCGAGGTACCTGCGCAAAGGTATATGCACCTTCCTGCCAAAACCTGTACGGGCCGAAACGAGTACCAATGCTATACCCCGTTTAAAAACCGTATAGTAACCAACAGGCCCGTAGAACAATATTTAGACCCTAAACCCTAAACCCTAAACCCTAAAGCGGCCTCTTGACCAGGGGCGCTCTATTGTCTATTTCCTTGGCACTCCTCTTCCTGCCCGAACCTTTCCTTCGCAACATGTGCAAGGGGTGAGGGTCGCGCGGACTTGGTCTCCTCATCGTAAAATTTCATATAATTCCCCAAACCCTAAACCTCCATATAATTCCCTAAACCCTAAACCCTAAACCTTCATACAATTCCCTAAACCTTAAACCCTACACCTAATAATTGCAGTATATGCTATATCAGACCAGAGGCCGCTACCCTTGTAGAAAGCCTGGCGTAACTCCCCTAAGGTCGGTGCAATGTCAAGCCGAAATCGGTCATGCCAAGGTGTGAACTATACCCATAGGCCCCATAGTAGATCCTTTTTGGGGGTTACCTGAAAGGATTCTATATATGAACCCCAAAAAGGAACTACTTTAGGGCCTATGGGTATAACCTTTTAGGGGTCCAACAGGACCCAATAATTAGGTACTTGGACTTAGGATGGTAGTTATGCAGGTTACCAGTCGATAGAGTAGTTTGTTATTATCAACCCAAAGGGTCCTAGGTACCACTTTTGTGTATGGATACCTGCCCAAACCAACATAGCACAGTAATTCCTATTCTAGCAACCCTACATTCGATTATATATAGGTCTGTAGGAACCCTCAAAGGAACCTAAAAAGGAACCTAAACCCCAAGCCCTCAACGGAACGCTTTTCTTCAGGTACTTATAAGACCCTTAAAGAACCGTGTCTGATTCTTCGCGCATGGTCAAAGACTCGGGATCGAAAGACGTGGGGTCGGCACTTACGAAGGGTGCACGGGTCTCAGGCCTGAGCCCTGTAGACTCTATACCTTAAGAACCCCAAACCCAGTTTTTTGTAGGTTCTTATTATATACCCTAATATGGGATTTATAGGGACCCTGCGAAAAAGTAGGTTTTGGGTTGTCAAGGTAGACTCCAAAAACCCTATCACCCCTAAACCCTAAACCCCACACCCCAAGCCACTCCTGAGTACCTGAACTTCATTTCTAAACCCTGTTATAGCATGCAAATAGGTCAACAGATGCCTTTGAGGAAGTATCGAAGTTTCAAAGGATACGCCCTAACATGGGTTATAACTATAGTTACCCTACTTCTAACCTCGTTTATGACTACCCATGAACCTCCAAGTGGCCGATCATAGCATCGCTCCACGCAGAGCTTTCGGAACACCGCCCTAAACCCTAAACCCTAAACCCCTAAACCCTGAACCCTAAACGCTAGATACGCCCAGAACACCGATTCCTACGTCATCCGAGCTATAGAGCCATGGCCTATCGCCCAGCCGTGGGGCAGAAGTATGCCCGGCTACGGGCGCCCCGCGGCCTCAAGGGTCTACGGGGGGGGGGGAGGGAGTTTAGGGCTTTTGGGGTTTTTGGGTCTTCAGATATAGGGCTTTAGGGTTTTTTGGGTTTTTAGGGGTTTTTGGGTTTAGGGCTTTTGGGCTTTTAGGGTTTTGGGTTTTTAGGGTTTAGGATTTAGGGCTTTTGGGTTTTTAGGGTTTAGGATTTAGGGCTTGTGGGTTTTAGTGCTTAGGGTTTAGGGGTGCAAGGTTTAGGGTTGAGGGGTCCTCCGGGGTTTAGGCCGAACCTCATGGGCCTTTTTGGGTTTGGTGTTTAGGGTTTAGGGTTTAGGGTTGTTCCCTCATCAGGGTCAATGTCAGACTCCTGCTGGAACAGTACTACATATACTGGTACCCGTACCAACACTCCTACGACCACGACTGGTACTACTTCGGGCCCCCAAAAGCACATAAGCATAAGCTTTTTATAGGGATATCCCTACCTTATTGGGCTTCGTTATGAGAGGATTTATATGGGATATCTGGATCCTAATTTTTGCTTATGTACTTTTTTGGGGCCCTAACTACCAGTATATCACAGTGTATCATTGTTTGTGTAGTAGCAGAGCTTTGCTCCACAGACTGCCTCAAGCCGCATGATCACTAAAGGAGTTCGAAGGGGACGTCGCGCGTTCTGACACAAACCGCATCTTCGGGATTAGGACGCGTAGGGTCTAGGGTGGAATCCCCATAATACAAGCTAAACCCAAAAACCCTGAACTTTCAAAACCTTACAACCCGAAAAATAAACAACAGCTCGAAACCCTAAAGCCCCAACCCCTCAGACCACGCACCCTAAAACCCTAAACCCTAAAGTCATATACCAAGACCCTTAAAACCCAAAGCCCTAAAACCCTTATATAGAAGTCTGAATAGTTACCAATACCATTGTGTGGGGGTACCTTATTATAAGTATATAGTACAATATAGCCCAGAACCCTTTTCTAATTATTAAGACCCGTACGATTCAAGCAGACCTCAGCCCTAAAACCCTAAACCCTAAGACCCTTAAGACCCTTAAGAACCCAGACCCCTAAATCCTAAGCCCAAAGACCCTTAAGACCCAGACCCCAAAAGCTCTTCAAACAGCTGATGATCCCCGGCCGAGGGAGCAACAGGCGATGTTGGCTGCCGCAGGGAAGGCCTTGGCTGAGGATATGTCACAAGAGACGCTGGGCTGATTTGAGCTTTAGGGTTTTAGGGTTTAGGGCTTAGGATTTTAGGGTTTGGGGTTTTAGGGTTTCGGGGGTTTTGGGTTTTAAGTATAGGGTTTTATTGTTTAGGGTTTTAGGGTTTAAAGTTTTAGAGTTTTGGGGTTGAGGGCTGATTTGAGATTCACCTTGGTTTCCATTGTAGTTCGACACTGGGGTTACGTTTCAGGATCCTCCATACAGACGCTGGGCCTAATGTAGGGCTTGTATATTGTAGGGCTTACGGGCTTACGGTTTGGGATTTGTATAGGGTTTAGGGTGTAGACTTTACATAGGGTTTAGGGTTTAGGACAAGAGATGCTGGGCTGACTTGGGGTTTAGGATTTAGGGTCTCAACTTCCGGGTTCAGGGTTTTGTACGTAGTATCCCACTGGAGGTCCTTGTGCACTTCTACAGGGCCGTAAACCCTAAACCCCTAAACCCTAAACCTCTCACCCCTAAACCTCTAAAACCCTATACCCCTAAACCCTAAACCCTAATTAAACCCCTAAACCCTACACCCCCAAACCCTTACACCCCTAAACCCTACGCCCCTAAATTCTAAGCCCTAACCCCTAAACCCCAAAACCCCTAAACCCTAAACCTTTGTCAACTTGTTGCCTTAGGAAGTTGACGTTCAGGTCTGGCTTTCTCTTCCCAACCCCAAGGCTGTCAAAACAAGCTGCAACAAAACTTAGTAGCTGAGTTAGGGTTTAGGGTTTTAAGGGTCTTGGGGTTTAGGGATTTATGGGTTAGTTTGTAATGTAGGGGCCTTAGTAATTAGAATAGGGTTTTTGGGTATACTATACTATAGTTATAATAAGGAGCCCCAAAATACTATTGGTAAGCATAGTAGGTAACCTTTAACTTTTTCGGGTCGATGTAACCCTACCATATCTGAGAAGATTAACCTTTGGCTAGGGTACTCAGCCCCTATGACAAAAGCTACGATCCCCAAAATAGAAACCCATAAGCCTAAACCACCACGAATCCTGAAGGCTTTCATGTCCAAAGCCGAAAAAATGATAACTCAAGTCTCAAACCCAAAGCCCCATGTTTTTGTAACGGCTCCTACCCTACGAATCCCAGCTGCTGCAATGTTGTTCTGGTATATACCAACACCCTGGTCTAGTTTTTTTAAACCCTCTTGCAACGACAACCACACCCTCTTCGAAACGTCAAACCCCTATATGGGTAATCTCTAGATCAGGGTCCTTTTTCCGGTCCCTAAGCATAGTACGGCACCCGTAATTACAGGACCCTAAGAGGGACCCTAATGTAGAGAACTACCCTAAACCCTAAACCCTAAACCCTAAACCTTAACCCCGTGTGAGTTCTACCCGCTCCTCCTTCATGCATCCGGTCAGTGAAGGCTCAGCGTAGCAGCTGGTGCCAAGGAAGCAGTCCACCTCCATTAAAGGAAAACTACAGGTGGGGAGTTTAGGGTTTAGGAGTTTAGGGGTTAGGGCTTTTAGGGTTTAGGGTTTAGGAGTTTAGGGTATAGGGGTTAGGGTTTAGGGTTTAGGGTGTGTAGGGCTTCTATAAGGCTTCTACAAGGTATATAGAAGTTCTATAAGGCTCCTATAACGGTAACTACCCACCTGAAAACGTCCTAGACTCGACCGGGGCTTTCGAGTGTCTTTCCGTAGAGGGGACCCTCAGAACCAAAGCGGAGTTCAAGTATAAGGGTGTTGAACAGGCTTGATACAGGATATCGAAGGGGTTTCTGTGGGTCTAAACATATTGGAAGGTTTGATGTGGGAGACCTTAATCATCAGAACAGGGTCCTTATGGTGTACCTCAGTAAGAGCTACAAAGGCTTTGATTTGGCTTGGGGGCTCGGGCTGTAGTTCAGGCTTTGGGGTTGGCTGTTGGATGTGGCTCCGAGGTGCTGGGTCCAGGGCTACAGGTCCAGACGCGTTTGTGAGCATACTAGAACAACATGAGCGCTTCTTGAATCAGGGACTCCTTCCAAGACTCCCTGCATGGAGCGTGCGACTCCGGTACTTCTTGCCACTCCCATCTAAGCATTAAGCTCCAAAGCCGTCGAGATCTTCATGGTACCTCAACCCTACACCCCTAACCCCGAAATTCCTAAACTTCCTAAACCCTGGACCAACCCAGGAGACCCCTAAACACTTCAATTCCTACCCTTACAGGAACCTCATAACCTATTGTGCAACATAAAGGTCGGCAAGGTCACGGTAAACCCTAAAACCCCAAAACCCA